TTTAAAAAGTGGGACAATCGGGAATAAACCCTATTCTAACGGTTTACTCCTGGTTTGCCCACTTTTAATTATACCAATTATCTATTAGTAAAGAAAACAAAAAAGACAAAAGGTTTAATGAGCATACAATTGTATAGTCTGTTCCAACTTAGGTATATAGGATCATAAGTTGGCTTTTATTGCAAACATAATTTATATAATATATGAATCAAGTTTATACATGCATTGCATAATGAAATAAATAAAGCACTAATGTTAAATAAATAATATGGGGCACTATATGTATAATGATGGGAAATAAAATCTTTTTGTCGAGCCTGCGACTTTTGTTGCAAAAGCGAGACATAGCGATCCTACATGCCGTCGTTGGCGGCGGCGGCAGCGTTCACAAATATTCACTCTGTGGTTGAAGTTTTTTTAAATTTTAATAACTTTCATAAACTATCCTGGATTTCTACCAAACCTGGACAGAAGCTTGTTTGTGATCATAAGATAGTATCCTGTAGTAAATTTTATAAATAAAAATCCTGTTTATCCGTATTTTACTTATAAATGGACTTAGTTTTTCTGCCAATTCACATTACATTCACTCTTTGGTTAAAGTTTTTAAAATTTTAATAACTTTCTTAAACTATCCTGGATTTCTACCAAACCTGGACAGAAGCTTGTTTATGATCATAAGATAGTATCGAGAAGGTAATTTTTAATAAATAAATCCTGTGTACCATATTTTACTTATAAATGGACTTGGTTTTTCTGCCAATTAACATTACATTCACTCTTTGGGTAAAGTTTTTATCCTGGATTTGTGCCAAACTTGGACAGAAGCTTGTAAATGATCAATAGCTAGTAGGTATCAAACGTAAAGCTTGGCTACTGAACAGTTGCATTTCAATATATTCTATTTGTTAGAATTAATTGGATATTTTTTATATTAAATTTCTAAGTTTGAAAAATTTGAAATACTTACGCTTTTCTACCTCAGGAATAGATTACCTTAAAAGTTAGCTGTATTTGGCAAAACTTTTGAGGAATTTTTTGTCCTCAATGCTTTTCAACTTCGAACTTTATTTGACCATTCTAACTTTTATTGATCCGAGCGTCACAAATGGAGTCTTTTGTAGACGATACGCGTGTCTGGCGCAAATACAAAATTTCAATCCTGGTACATGTATCTATGATCATGATGATGAGTTTATTCAGAAAAATATATTTATTAAAATTTAAAACAAAAATATGTTGAATAAATAAAAAGAAATTTAAATGACATTTATTCTAATCTATTATTATTTTTTTTTTCAACTTTTTTTCAGAATGTACCAACAATTAAAACTATTTGTTGATAAATTGTAAAAATAAATAAACATTTTTGAACATTATATTTGTTTATTTTTTATTTTTATATTTGTCAAATTCAATACATTTTCCTGCTAAAAAAAACTATATCAAATATAATATATCTTGGCACATTTTCCTTGATTTAATAGCAGAATATAGTATCTTTTATAAAATTTTACAGGTAAAATAAAAGGTAAGAATATGACTATAATTCAGAAATAAACTATAATTGTTAAAACAACAATTCCCCCTATGTTTACATATGCATGTAATTAAAAGTGGGCAAACCAGGATGACACCATTCTAACTCAGTTATTGACAGTTCTGGCAGACTCACCTGTTGACTAGATATAACAAATTCACAATAGTTTCTTTAGTTTTCTGTGGTTAGGGTAACCAGATAAGGTTAAACGAAAAGTTATGATAGGGTTGTATAAAAGAGGGGGTTAAAATGCCAGATAAAGAGTCTTTTTGTTTTTCATTGAAGATGACATTTAAACCCCTTAGATATATTCCCGTGGAAAACACTGCTAATAGACCAGTACAACAAATTTGGAGCAGATGACCCCTGAGGGTTTTCAAAAGATTTCTACAAAATTTAATAGCTTTTGGAAAGACATTTGCCTTAACTGGAATTTTTAGCATAGTGTTTATCTTATACTTATGAGTTTTGAATGCTCTCTTTTGATCTTCCGTCTCTTTTCTATAGACTTGGGACGGTTTATACGTTGTATAGACACAACTTTCTATTAGTAATGACTATTTGTTGTTCACTAAGTGTTGTTTTTTAAATACTTTATGTCGTTGGTTGCTGCTTTTTTGACTTATTCCTTACATTTCTTATTATTCACAGCTAATAAAATATCAATGAATACTTCAACAAGAAAAGCGATTAACTAAACTTTGAAGGAACTTGGATGTCATGCCATGCAAAAATTAACTTATGATTTTTAACTATTATCGTTACGCATATGTATTAACGAGATTTGAAAATCGATAAAACTCATAAATGTAACTGTTCTTACTAGAGGCTCATTTGGTTGAATGCCGATATTATTTTGAAAGCAGGAACATCTTTTTTTTTTAAATTCACAAATTACAAATGTCATTTGTTGTGCTGAAATTTTGGAGAGCAAAGTGCAAGTGAATTAACTGTTTGATTTTCAATAGCATGTCTATATCTAATTACTTCAAAGACGATTGGTTGGCAGCAAGAGTTGGTCAATGAATATTTCAAATGATGTAGTGAGTCAAAAACTGTAATACATCATGGTCATAAATAAGTACCAAAAAGGGCCTATAGAGGTTCGAGAATTTGTGTGCCAACTATACGGTTCTATAAAATATTTCATATCTATTAGGAGTTACATTGACATGATCAGAAAATAATATTTAATCTTAGATCGCCTATATATTTGTCTTGGTGTAAAACTTTATATTAAAGTTATTATGAACAGTAGATTGCTGCCAAAGTGTACCTTATTCAGAAATTTAAATAAGAGATACATAACAGACATTAGAGGAAAGTTTGCTCAAGCTTAAACCATATGCAAAGTCGACTTACTTTTAACCGATTAATAGATAATCTATCGTTTGGTGAGTTACCTGAAGCTTTTGTGTAATTTAATACTGGTAAGTTTTACTGGTGGATGGGACAGGAGATAATGGATTAACTACCAAGAAACTGATAAATAGGTCCCTTTTGGTCATATAGTTCAAAACGTTGCTACGAATTTATACAGCTCAGCTTTCAAATGTTTAGGTTTGAGTGTTCCTTATGAAGATAAATCTGGCGCATCGGACGCACGAAATTTATAAAGTGTTATTTTCAAGATAACTGTCTCGTTCATTTATACCAGAAATTGAACATAAAATTATCTATTTATACAGGAGTAGGATCATAATGTTGGTTGCTTTGCTGAAGTTATTGTTTGAAAAATTTAGACTTGTTAGACGTCCTGCACACTTTTGATTAATCAATCCAAATAAACCACTTTATTAGAAGTTCGGAATTATATAACAATATCGATATGTTCTACAACAGTTTTGATAAATGCGCGTTGTGAAAATTTTATAAAAAATGGAGATATCAAGTTTTTAGTAAAAGTAGGACAGACATGACCAAACGAAAACAAAAATATTATATTACAACAAGGAACAATTTTCAAATGCTATAAAAATCTATGTATAAGGATTATAAAATTAATTGAAAGTAAAATGTCGGATTTAGTTCTGCAAAATGTCAAGGATTGAATGTAGCTTATTATAACCAATACTTATATGTATATTAGGAACATCCTTAATACTGAGAAAAGCAAACATCAAACCACCGCAATAACATACTAAATTTTTATAAAGAGTTTCAACTAGAAAAACGTTCGTTACGTAGAATGATGGGTAATGGGTAGTCAGTTTTGAGTTTAAGTGGACTCAAAACGTCACATTTTACCAAAAAATTTTACATCGTCCTTGAGCAGTTGTGAAACATTGGCTTATTCAATATGTATGTAAAGATGTCAATCTGTCCGAGTATTTATCTTATTGTCGTCCGTATTTAAAACATAGTCTTTCAAAACCTTCAATCAAAATGTAATTCAAATATTTTAAACATCAACATATTATTAATGAACACCCTTACAATGTTATTGACCTCGCGATAAATAATTTTGCATCCGTCGACATTAACTTCGATTTAAATACTATAGATCTGATAACCGCTGTGCATGTATACTTTAAGGACTGGGCTAGTTTTCTTATCAGTTTTAAAAGTAGTAACCTCCCTGGTTAATGAGATGCTGTTATCAATCTATCTATTTGTACCATACTTATTTAATATTATATTGTACAATTTAAATTTATGATTCGTTTAATATTTAAATATAATATTTTTTTTTTAGTAAAGATATAAACAAGGTAATTTGAAAGGCTTTGATTCATTTATCACCGTAGTTCAATTCATAAGTCAGGCGGTCTATTTTGTCTACATTATGTTGAAAGAACACCGGGGTGTTTACATTGGCATTATTTACTATCAATGACTGTGAAACAAGAAAGGAAAACATTGTACATTATAAAACGAGAATAATTAAAATTACATTCAAAATTCATCTTTAGTGAAATCAAAAACGAAAAACGGAAACACTTTTTATTTTCATTTTGGTTTTAGAGAAATCAAAAACAAAAATTGAAAACACTCGTTTTCCGTTTTGGTTTTAGAGAAATCAAAAACGAAAAACGAAAACAATTTTGTTTTTCGTTTTGGTTTTTGAGAAATCAAAAACGAAAAATGAAAACACTCTCGTTTTTTGTTTTTTTGTTTTGGATATTTCAAAATGAAAAACGAATTGACGCAAATATACACGGACCAATAACACATGAATAACGACAACACAAAATTTTTTTTTCATATTTTGCATTTTTATAGAATTTATTTCTTATTCATTCCACATTATATTATTATTTGTATTTCCACCGTTAATTATCTACAACATTATAACTACAACATGTACAATAGTATTAAAATAAATCTAAATTGTTTTTATATTTTCAAGATATACATGCACACACAACTCCAATGAAAACAATTTACCCACTGCAGGTAGATTTCCGACAGAATATTAATAGATTTACGTGGAAGTTTTATAAAGTAATCGGAGGCTGTCTCGGTCTACTTAATCAAAAACACTGAACAGAAATCAATATTCCCGTGGAAGTGAAGATGATCATGTCGCAAAGTAAGGTAAGATTACGTAAAGCTTAGACAGTTTGTGGTACAATATTTTTTAAGACTAGGGCAGTATGGAAACGGATTGAGATAAAACAATTAGGATAAATCAAACAAAAATTGTACAAAAATAAATGTACAACAGTTTTTATGCTTTCCTCCTTCAACCCAAACAAACAGCCAGAAGTTTAACATTCACTTGAATGAATCAGCGAGTAGCTCGTGTATTTTACATTCTAGGGGGCCATTGGGACAATGCATAAATGATAAATGTAAAGGAGAAACAAGAAGAAGAATTGCGACATTTTTAATTATTCAGAGTAAAAATGTTTCTCATACAAAATAAAATCAATATATACACTTCCTATACATTTGTCCAACGAGGTAATATAAATGAATGAAAAACATAAAACGATAATAAAATAATACAGAATACAATAGCTTGGCCTAGGAAGGGGTCAATTAAGCCATATAAAGATATTAAAATGCTAGGTGTAACACATGCAACATAAGCATTCAAAAACGAAGATGCACACAAACTTAAACTGACATAATTCAAAAATACATTTTAATGGACCAAAAATGTATATGAACATCTAACAAACATCATAGTAAAAAGCTTGAGGTGTTGAAAGATATCCGGATTTCGACAAGTAATGTCTCTTCAATGATGTTAGGAATCGAAACGGTATTTGAAAAGCCATACAATTTACCTCAATTTAGGATAGACTCTTGAATTTTGAAAGAGTCGAAATAGGATGAACCCGAAGGCAAATTTAATACAAGCCCAAACGAAAAAATATAAACAAGTCTAAATTGAAAACAACGTTCAAACCTATGATTGCGTTGGAAAAAAACCGCAATATTTATAATAAAATAATACAGAATACAATAGCTTAAAACGCAATCTATTTGAAAAAGAGAATTTCTATTTTATTCTCTTATTTCAATGTTTTCTATTTGTGTGAACAAAATATTCCAACAAACATTTAACTGGCATGATTGTAACAAATATATTTGATGATGGTATCAAATAACACTACACAACAAAAATTAGAGAACAATCTCAAGAAATAAACACGTTTTACTTTACATGTACAAGAAACGTAGAAATTTTTTGTTTACAAGTATTGGGGAAATTTCCCCAAAAAGTTGATAACCAATCAGATATCAATAATTTGGGAAATTTCCCCAAAGAGATGATGACACACAACAAATCAATAGAATGGGGAAATTTCCCTAAAACGATGTTAACGAAAAAAAAAATCAATAGAATGATAAAATCTCCCCAAAATGATGAAAATTAAAAAGAAATCAAAAGAATGGTAAAATTTCCCCAAAAAAGACGATAACCAACAAGAAGTCAATAGAAATGGGAAATCTTCCCAAAAAGATGATAACCAACAAGAAGTCAATAGAATGGGGAAATTTCCCCAAAAAGATGATAACGAAAACGAAATCACTAAAATGGGGAAATTTCCCTATAAAGTTGATAACCAAAATGAAATCAAATGTCTGGGGAAATTTCCCCAAAAAATTGATAACGAAAACAAAATCACTAAAATTTCATAACCAAAAATAATTCAATAGACTGGGGAAATTTCCCCAAAAGATGGGAACGATACCGAAATCAATAGAATGAGGAAATTTCCTGACACAGTTGATAACAAAAAAAAAATATTTAGACTGTGGAAATTTCTTCACAAAGATTTTAACCAAATAGTTATCTATAGACTGGGGAATTATTCCCACAGAGATGATAACCAAAATAAGTTCACAGGCTTGAAGAAAATACTCATGCATTGCACAATGATTGCACATTCCGTTGTATACAACAGCGAGGAATATGTCATCTAACAGATACTTTAAGAACACAATTGAAAGGAATCATTGGCTGAGGAAACATTCACACTGATGAATTAAACAAAAAACATCAGAGATAGAGATGATACAGTTTACGAAATGGGCTAATTTTAATAGGCGACTTAACAGTATGGTTTTTCTCATGTTGAAGGCCGTAAGGTTGCCGTTAATTGTTAAAAACCACTTAAAATGATCTTTGAGGAATAGTTGTCTCATTGACAATCATACCCGATCCCCTTATTTATGAATACTATAAATTAACTCGTATGTTTTAATCTGTCGGGGCCTCGGTGGCCAAGTGCTACAAGTAGTCCAACTACTGTATCACTAGCCAGTCAACGCTGAGATTATGAATTCGAATTCTGCTCGTGCAAGGTGCGCTCGACTCCAATCTCAATTGACTAGGCCCATGATTGTCAGTTTTCCTATCGAAGGTTCGTGGTTTTCTTCGGGCAATCCGGCTTCCTCCATCAATAAAAAATGACCGCCACGAAATAGCACAATAGTGTTGAAAGTGGCGTTAAACACCAACAAATCAATCAATCAATTTATTCTGGTGAATTTCCCAGCCCGTTTGAAAACAATTACACCCTATGGGAGACCATGAAAAAAATTGACACATTTGAAGTGAGTTTATAATCTTGCAGAATGCGGTTATAATTTCAACTGTTCAACATTTACAGCAAATATTATAATTCAAACCATACAGATTAAATAGAAAATAAGCTCTGTCCTTTATTTGGTGTCTTTATACAGCAGTAATAGATCATGCATTAAGTTGAAGTCTTCTTTTCCTTTCCTGTAAATATATCATGCCTTGAGTAGAAGTCTTCTTTTCCTTTCCTGTAAATATATCATGCCTTGAGTAGAAGTCTTCTTTTCCTTTCCTGTAAATGTATCATGCCTTGAGTAGAAGTCATCTTTTTCTTTCCTGTAAATATAAAATATATTATGCCTTGGGTAGAAGTTTTTTTCCTTTCCTAGATAATTCGTTGATACAAAAGATTGCTACATGTACCAGACAGTGTGACGTTACGTTAATATTATAAGGAAGCTTCCATTTCATTTTTAGGGGGGGAGGGGGCTGGGATGAAATCATAAAAAAACGTCAGAACCGAATAAAGGGAAAAACAAAAAGAAAAAGGCAGGACAGAGATTACAATTATAAAAAAATGCAGGACAACATTTTTCATCCTCCCCCCTTTTTCCCCCAATTAAAGTCAAATGGTAGCTCCCTTACGTATAAATAATCCTGCTATATGTATATCGTTACAGGGTTAACTGCACTGAATGTCTCAATACTTTCCGTTATCGTCATTCTGACGTTGATATCTATAAAATGAGAAGATTGTACCTGCATAGGGCAATTTTGATATCATTTAGAAAGAGTACGAGCACCTTTACAGACATTCTGATATCTGACCATACAACAAATTTTGAGGAGGTTTGTGTTCAGTTTTAGAATATGTATCATGAGAATCATTCTGTCAACACTGTGTTAATAGGGACAATTTCATACTCGATATTTGATTCATAAAAATTAGGACAATACAAACATTTAAAAATAGATGTGAAACCCTGTCTAATTTAGAAAAGATGGAGTTACAGTCTAAACAGTAACTTTCTTTCACTTGCAGTATATTTACATATGTGCGTTTTTGTATTGGCAGCAGAAATGTCCTTAAAAACTAGTAAGTCTATTTCCTCATCAATTGATTACGCTTGAGAATTGGCAATAGTTTGGAATATTTCACGCTCACAATGTTTTACGACACTGTATGGTGTAATAGCGTTATAGAGTATAGAAGTTGTGGTGACGTTACAGTAGAAATTAAATAAGGTTTCCGAATTTGTTTTTTTTCCGCTAAAAATCAAACCTTTAAGAAATGAATTCTAAACAAAACAACTAAATAAATGGGAATGGACACAGATGCTGCCCCCGCTTGCATATAATGTTATAAAGGGACACGTAAACTGTAAAAGTGACGCTACCAAAATTTGTACTTGCTCTGAGTTTTGTGGTAATAAGCATTGTGTATACATTGTTCGTTTCATAACATTTAGTTGAGGCAAACTTAAGTTAGACAACCGAAACAAAAAATCCAGCAATTTTTCCATTTGTAAAGGGGCATAACTCTAGAATGGTAAAAAAATGACGCCACCAAAGTTCAAACTTGATCTGTGTTTTGTAGTAATAAGCATTGTGTATAAATTTCATAACATTTGGTTGAGGAAAACTAAAGTTAGAGAACGGAAACAAAAAAATAAGCATTTTTTCCATTTGTAAAGGAGCATAACTCAAGTACGGCAAAAGTGACGCCACCAATATTCAAACTTGGTCTGTGTTTTGTGGTAATAAACATTGTGTATAAGTTCCATAAAGTTTGGTTGAGGCAAACTAAAGTTAGAGAACGGAAACAAAACAATTAGCAATTTTTCCATTTGTAAAGGGCATAACTCTAGAACGGTTTAAATGAAACCACCAAAATTCAACCTTGGTCTCTGTTTTGCGGTAATAAGCATTGTGTATAAGTTTCATAACATTTAAGTGAGGCAAACTAAAGTTAGAGAACGGAAACAAAAAATTCAGCAATTTTTCCATTTGTAAAGGGGCATAACTCAAAAATGGCAAAAGTGACGCCACCATAATTCAACTTGATCTGTGTTTTGTGGTAATAAGCATTGTGCATAAGTTTCATAACATTTGGTTGAGGGAAACTAATGGTAGAGAATGGAAACCAATTTGGAGACGTTCTTTAGGAAGTACAGACAGACAAGGATAAAAAACTTATTGCCCCCTCCGCTACGGCGGGGGCATACAATTTGAAAATAAATCTTTAGAAGTATGTTGCCGATGAAAAAAGCAATATCTAGAAGCAATGAATTATATTTAACAAGAATGTATCCATAGAACACGGATGCCCCATTGCACTATCATTTTCTATATACAGTAGACTGTGAAATTGGGGTAAAAAATCTAATTTGGCATTTAAATTAGAAAGATCAAATCATAGGGAACATGTGTACGATGTTTCAAAAAATTGAAAACAACACGTTTAATGATTTCATGCGTCAGAAGCGCTTTTCTGCATTTACCTTCATCAGGAACGCTCAAAGCCATACATTTGAAATCCGAGGAATGTATAA